CCCACACTGTATATTGCGTCCTCTAGCTTGCTTTTTAGCGGGCCTTACGTGTTGTAGATGTCTCCGTAGTGGTCTGTATGGAGAGGAGGAGCACCTGCCGAGCCTCTTCTCTGATTTTCCATACGTGTGAAAATAAAGATATAATAGTAGTAGCCAACAGTTACGGTGCTCATACCACATGCCACACACTCTCTGTTTTCTCATTGAATCCTCACACCCCTAAATGGTAAGTGCCCTACTGTTATCACTTCAGTTTCACGTAGGACACCGAGGTTTTAGGAGACTATCATTTGTCTGAGGTCAGCTCATAATCCACTCCTGTGTGTGATCTCCAGCCCCGGAATCATGGCATCAATGCATAAGTGAGGTGTTGGTAATACTCTGGGACCCAAGTGACAGTGAATATAGTCAATACCCCATCCTCTCAATTATTGGAAAGTTTCTCATTGTGACCTCTGGTAGAAAGAGCATAAACTAATAGTCATTATATCTGGCTTCTATCGTTGACTCTTGTGCCAGGCAGCTCCGGGATATTGACAGATAGCTTATCTTCTCTTTCTGCCTCAATGTCCTCACCTCTTAAATGGGACTCCAGTTGGCTACTTACCTACCTAAAAGACTGTATTGGGAACCAGAGGACACAGCATTTGAGAACCCAAACTGTGGCCTGCAGACAGGAGACTTTCAGAAGGATGGATCCTAGCCCACTTTTCCGCTCTCCTTATCAAAACCCTACCTGCCATATTCCAGCTATATCCCCATGAATGTAATATTAACTACAGTGTTTAATCCTCATTCAGCAAGCAGCAGCTTTAGAGATTGTTTTAAATCTCTTATTTTATCTGGCTTGTTTAATTACCACTATGGAAACATCATTTTTTCTTCCTTTTTTTAACTTCATAGATATATCGTATTTCAACCTTATTGTGTGTTAAATTAAGTTTTACGGGTGAACCGGGGAACCCAATCAGAATTTATAGCTTTATTTCTGTGGGAAAAACAATTGCTTCCAAGCTTCAAACAACTAATTACAAGGGAACACCACCAATTTGGGACCACTGTACTGTTCGCATTGTTTTCTAATTAGTTCATAGAAGGATAGCCGATCTCCCCATAGAGATTGTAAACTTCTTAAGGGCAAGCACTATATCTTGCATGGATCCCCCACAATACCCAGCAGGTGCCAAGCTTAAGAGTGTATTCAGCAAATACTTAATTCCTCCAAAGCCCAACTACGATGTCTGCCTCCAAGAAATGGGTGCTGATGGGAGTGCCTTGGGTTTCCTTGGGAACCTCTGCAGTAGTCATCAGATCGTACGCTCTCAAACTTGATGACTCAGAGACGAGGCCCAGGGAAATAGTGTGTCTTGTTCAGGTTCATTTGGCCGAATGATAATTATAGTAGTAATAGCAATATCAAATATTGATATTTTTAGCACCTACTGTATTCCAGCACTGTTCTAGATGGTTTACATTTGTTAATGTATTTTATCTTCACCAAAAAAATTAGATAGTTATTGTTACCCTCATTTTACAGATGAGGAGACTGAAGCCTAGAGAGATTAAGCAGTTTGCCTAAGGTCACAGAGCTGATAAAAATGTAAAAGAGAAATCTGAACCCAGGCAAGCCTGGCTCCCGAACCCACGCTGCCAGCCCTGGGAAGACAAGAGGGCCGTACTACTTCTCATCTATGAAAAGCCAGGATTAAAACCTGCCATCTTGACTGTCACCCCACTGATCCTCTCAACTGGAAATATCTTGCATAATATTACAATGCTGGCATTTTCACTTGCTTCATGTCACATGATCTGCATTAAAGCCTTGAGCAGTAGTAAGATAGGTGCTTTTTTTTCAATGCTTACATATATATTCTACCAAATTCAAACAGTACGAAAGTACACTATGTGTCTCTTGAAATTCTTCCAAAGCTAAAATCTTGATCAACATTTTGGCAGACATTCTCATAGACATCTCCTCGGAGTACATATGTGTAGATACATATTTACAGTATAATGTAATTGAGACCTCATCCAGATGCATTTCTGTAACCGAGGAGGAAGGACAGTATTATTTCTGTCAACGATGGACACAGGAGGAAATTACAGCTCAGTAAAGGGACTGACTTGTCCAGTGGAGAGCCAGCGAGTGTCAGGATTGGGACTTGAGTCCTGTGTGGGTTTCTATGGTTTGGGGGTAAGTACACAAATCCAGGACCACATGTATTGTTTGACCTCCATTGCTGCTATCAGATACTTCCTCCCAGCACCCAGTCCTGCCTCTGAACTGAGTGGGTGCCACGCCCCTGATGTTCTGTTGTCTTTGGAAATGTTGTCTACTGCAAAAGAGATTCGAGGTACTTGGTGAATGGGAATATTTATACAGCTGTCCATAAAATGGCAGCGAGCTTTTGCGGACACTAAGTGATGGTGGCAGTTTTCTGGCCCCATGAAATCTCAGCTGAGGCAGCCTCCTTGCAGGTTGCACAGTGATTGCAAATGTGGCTCAGATGTGACAATGACTGCTCCAGTGCCACCTATCATGTCTCCATCGAGCAGCCTTTACAGTTGTTTTGAAGAATTTGAGGGGAAATGGAATCCGATATTTGGGGAGGGAGAAATGCTCATTACCTCATCCTAACCAACTTCCCTTCCTACTGGATACTTTGGTCTTAGGGATTGGTATCCAGTTTTGCTGAAAATGAAATCATCTATTCAACTCTCAGGCTGCGTTAGTGAAAATGAACTCTAATGTGATTAGATATTAATGTAATGTAATGGAAGATTGGTATTAAATTGAGGCCTTCTGATCTTATTACTCCATAAATGCTACCTCCTGCTCAGACTTCTGCCCTGCCAGCCCTGCCTCCCCGAGCAGAAGCAAGGGGCAGTGGTGCCAAAGCCTGTGAGCCCACTGTGGAAGCCTGGTGTAGAGGGGGAGGGACAGACGGAGAGATAGTGAGAGAAGGGAGACTGGGGTTCAGGCCCCAGCTCTGACATCCGCCTAGGATAACCCGCAATGAGACCTTACTTCCTTCACTGCCTTGGGCCTCTGTGTCTGTCTTGTGGGGAGAGGAGGAGCTGGACCACAGTAGGCATAAGTCTAGGCCTGCCTACACTCACAGAGGGTGTCCTTGAGGGCCCTGAGCTTCAGTGTCAGGTTTCACCTTTACATGTAGAAGTGCTTGAAGATTTTTTTTATAGGCACAGGACTAAAAAGCTAAGAAGAACAAAATCTTTATCTCCTCCACTCCTACACCCTGATCTTGTTTGTAAAACTGACTTGACCTTAATAGTTGCACTGGCTGTTGTTACTTATCCTAATTCTGTTCCCCTTTCCTGGAAGGGTGGTCTGAGAAGTAGGCAGTGGACCAGTTTTGGTGTGTGCTGTAGCTTCCTATAGCAGTGGGGATGGGACTCTGATGCCCAATGTGGCATGGACACACCTTCCTTTCCCTAACCTGCCAGAAGAAGCACATGAGTCTGTCATTAGTTACAAAGCTTAGCTAGGAAGTGACAGCGAGGCCTATGAGAGCCTAAGCCCAGTGTGGAAGGCCCACAGAACCTCCCTTGTAGGCTTGCCGGGCCCATAGGCTGCAACCTACCCAGACTCTCCAAGAGAGCTGTGTGGGTCTGAGAGCAAAACAGTCTCCCACTGAGAAAATGGGCCAGGAGTACAAGCTCTGGGGATGGTCAGATGGCATCACCTTCATGTATGAATAATAGTGTTTGTACAAGGAGAGTGATTTTTCTTGTGCTGTTTCCAGAAAACTGCTTTCAGAGGCACAGACTTTGCACACAGGATGGTAACGACTTTTTAATGACCTTAAGGGGCCTCGTGTCCAGGCAGCAGTGAATCAATCTCAGTGGGAGGCTCGTAGTGAGAGAGAAGATGGAACACCTGAAACCAAAGGGGGAAAAACAAACCGCAAATACATGTATTTTCTTTGGTAGCATTATTTGGTAATTAGACAATTACAGGAAACAGCTTCCCAGCAGCTGGCATTTCCACTGTATGAGCGGAGGAGGGACGGCAACAACTGTGATCTCCTCACATTTATCATAGAAAATATTATTGGCGTTTACAGTCGTGGGTGCCATGCACTCCTCCAGTGCATTCTGATGAGCTGTGAGTGTGAAACCAAGAGCAGAGCTGCTCGTCTGGGCTTTAAATGAGGGGCCCAGCCCCTGCTGACCGATGAGGAATTGCCTTTAAAATTTGGAGGCTGCTTTTGGGCCCACCCAGAGCCTGGGTAGTCCTGAGAATAAACCGTCAGTGGGGTGTACATTTGGAAGCTGGAAAGGGAGGGGCAGAGGCCTTTGGAGAAATTGCCTCTTCTTCCCCAGGTGCTGTCACTTGAATGGGAGGAGAGTCAGACAAAGAGCCTGGGGTTCGTGCCACAGTGAGTGACCCCCACTGCTCTAACCGCAGCGCTAGGTCCCCACTGCCGTCCCCTCGCCCTGCCCTACCCTGCCCTCTGTCAGAACTCTCTTCCCCGAACCTTCCAGTGAAGCCACTGTGCCCACTCAGACACGTCCATTCAGCCAGCAGCCCTCTGAGGTAGGCCCTGTCTCATAGAGGGGGAAATGTGTTTTATGAACTCCCACCAACCTTGATCACTTTTATATCTGGCCACACTTGGCACAATGTGGGCTTGGTCTGTACTTTGTGCTTGTTTATGGAGAGCTTTATAAGAACCCCACATCACCTTCACAGAAAGATAGGAGCACCTTTAATGAGATTGTAGGCTCTGAATGGGGACATAAAAAGGAGTGGAGGAGATAAAGATTTTGTTCTTCTTAGCTTTTTAGTACTTGCTGCCTCCCTCAGCCATTCATTGGGTGGAGCCCTGTCTCCGTCCCCTGTTCCTCCTACAGCACAGGTCTCCCGAGGACAGAGGACAGGAGGCCCTTCCTCAGTGTACTCTGCTCCATCAGCCCACACGGTGGGCTGGGCTAACTGTACCGTCTAACCACGCAAATGGTTGTGCTTCCTCTCACAGGTCCTGGCAGTCAGTAACTTTTGAAAGACAGCCTGCCTCCTTCATCCGAATCGTTGGAACACACAACACAGCGAATGAGGTAAGGGTCTTCTTTCTTGAAAGATACTGTGATATTTCATGAGGTACAGGCAAATGCTACATCCTGAGTTAAGTGGAACTGTTTGTTCTACCTGCTAATGGCCTGTTGTTCAGACAGCTTGGCACAGAAGAAAGTCCTGCTCTTGCACAGTGGGGATATCATTATCATTTCCGAATGTCTCTTCACTAGCAAGTGAAAGCCAACTCCTATGGCTTTGCTTACTCCTACCAGCCTCTCTGTGGAATTGGCAACCACAGAGACCTTGAGAGGTCAAATACCCTGTCCTCAGAGTCTAGTCTTCTGTCCTCCCAAAAGAGCTATTTCAGAGGTCCTTTGGCCCTCTGAGTGTAATGTTCAAAGAACACCAGCCCCGTGGGGGCGGCCATGGTGCACGGTTGCTGGTTCCTCTGTCTACTCAGTCCTATGCCAGGCTGCCTGTGTTTATGAGCGAGCCTCCTCCCGCTTCCAGGCCTATACCTTCCCCAGTGCCCAGGCCCGGCTCCCGGGGTCAGGCAGTCGTTTCAGTGGACCATGCTGTTTGTAGATGGTCCCTCCCCTTTAGATTCAATCAGGGAAGAGTGGGTGCGTTGTTTTCCCTCATATTTGGTACCCATGGTCAGAGTGACAGCCAGGTGAGGTGCCTGGGCCTCAAACCTTGCCATGCTGTTTTGTCTGGAATGGAAATGGCTTGAAGGGCACTGGACTCCTCTAGATCAGAAGAGAGAAGACAGCGCCTGCAGTGAGTGGGAATCCAGGGCCCTTGAGTATGGGGAGGGCGCTAGTAATGATTGCACCAGAACAGCAACGTAAACCAAGATCAAGCCAGGCATACCTGAACTGTTGTCCCCTCAACAGCACGGATTCCCATTGGGCTCACAAGGGCACCTCGGGAGTCACTCACACAATTTAAGTTGAGAATAGTATCTGTTTCAATTTTGAGTTTAAAATAATTCATAGTTAATCACTTACCTTTTCTGTTCTTCAGGTGGGTGTTGAGTAAGCTACTGGTGGTGAGGGTTGATGTCCAGCGGTTGACCGTGCTCTTGACTTAGACTGCTCATCATTCACTTGCTTTGGTACAGTCATACATGTATAATGTGTACCTCTGAAGGGCCTCTGGTTAAAGACAGGGGTTGTGAGGAACAGTAAGGTTGAAATTTAAGAGATAAATTAAAGGCATATAAACAGTAACAATTCTACAATTTCACCTTACCATGATCTTTCTCAGATCTGTATAAGGCCAGCTTTCTGGGAGTGCAACCAGGGCAGTTACATCGGGCTTCGTGCCCAGAAGGGGGCTCCGTGCTTGAAGTGTAATGCTCGCCAGCATCATCCTAAAGTTCTTAGCAATTTTACCTTTGAATTTTTTTTAACAAGGGAAGCCCCATGGGACAGTGGAGTACCCACCCAGCTCTTAGAATCTCAGCTCACACTCAAGCCTACCTCCCCTCCTTCTTGTCTTCCCAGGGTGGGTTCTCAGCTACCCATTCTCTGACCCCTGGTGCCTGTACCTGCTCAGACCCCCAACCCTCAGCCCACGCCACAAACACTGCCACTCTCCACTCCCAACGGGTCCCTGACATGTATGCAGGGAGGGTCAGGGTTGGTATGAATCCTGCACGCGAGTCACTGAATAGGGCCCCTGGTGCCTGTGAGTGTCTGCTGGGGCCTTAATTAAGGCAATCCCTGTGCCCAGGAGAGTGCAACATTAAATCAAATGAAAACCCCATGACAGGTCAAGAGAGAGATTGATAAAAAAGCTTTTTCCTGCCTTTTGAACAAGAGGCTCCACATTTTCATTTTGCACTGAGCCCTGCACATTACATAGCTGTTCTAAGATTCATACATTGTGTTTGTCGAATCAAAATTCTCCAGAGTACATCGAGGTGTTTCTGAGACTTCAAACAGCATTTTAAAAAGTGAAAATATTGTGATAATTTATATTCATTTTGCCTTTTTATTTATTTAAATAAAAATGATACACGCCCACAGTGTATTTCTTGCAGAGAAAAACTTGTAAACTGAAACCTGAAACCTTTGCTTTTACCTCTTCATTTCAAAACAAACCTGAAAATTATAAAAGTAAACCATTCGATAATTTTTAAAGCACAGAATTAAAGAATTCTAAACATTGGTCATAAAAGCACTTTTTCTTTTTTTTGATGATGTAATAAAAGTAACTTTGAATCTGCATTTTAATAAATATTTGATCCCCAAACCAAACACCAAATTTTTAAAAATAAATCCCAATTTTTCTTATCATTTAAACTTGTTAAATTAATTATGTATATATTATTATTAAATTGGAAGACAATTTAAATTTTAAATTAAATTGGAAAATAATTTAAATTTATGTAATATATCAAGCTAAAATGAAATATATTTCATTTGCAGTCACTTATCTCTTATATAAAGCATTAAAAAAAAGACTAAATTTTTCTTTAATTCCTAAATGGGGCTGTGCAGTTATATATTACAACAAAAGGAATTCCTAAGTCAGAGAAGGCTGAGAAGCACTGGAGTGGGTATGATAATTTCAGAAGCATAAATGGACTTGGTTTTTAGCATAAAAAGTTGAGGTTGTCTGTGCAATAACAAAAAGAGAAAAATAAGTGAATAAACTGCCACATCCCCTGGGTAAGACTGTTTTCTGTAGGTACTGCCCCATCCAGAGAGGGAGGGTCAGACCAGGCCACGGTGGGGAAAGTGCAGCTTAAAGAGCATTCAGAATAGATGGGGTTGGACTGTTCTGGCAACAGGTAGAAAGTGACCTGCATAGTGTGTAAGTGGCCAGAGGTGCTGGCAGCTATGCGACTGTGGCAGTGGAAGCTATGCGACCTTGAAACATCCAGCTGCTGTTTGGAATAGTAGAGGCCTACCGAGCTAAACCAGATTGGGATTTCTTGCCCGATACAGGTATGTGTCTGTCTTGCTCCAGCAGGCCAGGCCTCCCTGCATGCAGGGCTCAGCATCTGTCTGTGGCCTGTTAATTTCCCTCACTTCTCTCCATCCGGGCCAGGCCAACTCTCAGATGACAGCAGCATCGGCAGTCTGGAGGTTCAGATTTCTTGATCACCTGTTTTGGCACGCTTCTGATTTCCTGCGGCATTTCATCTCTCTCCTCTGGGAAGTGTATGTCTGCTGCTGGCATCTGTCTCTCATCTTCCTTTGTGAGCACCGCAGCAATGAATTCATTTAATTTTTTAGCTATGTGTATGACTTCTGTCAATAAATTCCCTAATGCTTAACCTCTTGAAGACTGCACCGCTTTCTTCAGTGACCTCCTGCTTTTGTGTACTCGGTGTCATCCTTGTCATTTATCTTAACTTCTTGGAACATTTTCTTTTCAATTCACTTGGGGGAGGGTTGGTGCACGAGATGCTCTGCTCCTCTCTGCTCTGTAATCTCCCCATGCTTGGCACACATCTCGCGTTTCTGTCCTTTACCTTGGACACCTTTTTGCACATCCTCCGCCCACTCACATGGTGTACTTTGTCTTCCTCATACACTTAGCACTGAGTGTCAGTTTGTCTTCCAGCACATCCACTCTCTCATCCTGCTATCCTTCATTTGTTTTCATTCATTTGCTCCTCCCAAGTACCTGTAGCAAAAAGGTCCTTCTTGGCTCTTTCCTCAGTTGCTTCATGGTGGTCTCAGTCACCAACTCAGCAATCGTGTGGTCATTCCGGCCCACCTGCCTCAGTTGCTAATTGACCGAGCTACTTAGGAGGAAGGCATCACTCTCTTTTCCCTTTTTAAGTCTTCATCCAAATAAAGATTAGAAATGGGGCTTTGTTGACAATACCACAAATATCACGGCGGATCTGAAGTTTCAATTCCAGTGACTGTGCCATGCTGGTTCTGGTGCAGCACCTCTCACAGACCCCTTCATTTTCATTTGGTTAATTACTGTAGCAAAGTAACAAAGGCCCACTCCTATCTTAAAGACAGTAGCCTGGGCCCAAATGAGACCTGTCTGTGGACCTATGAAACACAGTATATCAAAATAAATAGAAGTTATACCTATTTCTTTTTGTGGCTTTTATGAAAACATGGGTTGAAAGCAAGTTTTGGGGTGATTTTTCATAAGCAGAGAGCTCAGGGGCACAAGCACCCCTAAGGGTTAAATAGGACTATAGGAAAAACTCTGCAATATAGAGAGGCTGTGTTCCTGCTCAGAAGAACCCACATGAAAGCCTTTGCCAAGTCAATACAGAAACTGAGGATGGTATTGACAGTCTGTAGGCAGCTCTCAGGGCTCCATTTACTTATCGAATTTCTGTAGCTGAGGAGAGAGGCTGTGTCGTATTTATCTTTGTATTCCCTGCACCTAGCATGTGCCTGTTGGATATACACAGAGAGTACCTGTTGGCTGAACGAGTGAATGAATCATTCGGTCTGCCCATCCACCTCTCCCCCTCCCCATCAGTCAGCCAAATGAAGGAAGAGATTTAGTGATTCAACTTCTTGTCCTCAAGATACCATGGCATTCCAAGGCAGAGTTTCTGTAGTCATACCGAGAAGTTTGTAAACTAGAAACTTTTATAAATGGAAAAGTATGTTAAATACCTCAGCATTATAAAAGTTTAGGACCCTTATAATAATAACTAGTATTGTAATAGCTAGTATTTACTGAGCACTTAATATGTGCCGGGTCCCATTCCAAGCCCTTTATATTTATTATACTATGTATACTATGTGAAGTAGGTTCTACTCTCACTGCATTTTAAAATGGGGAATACCAGGTTGTTGGCAAAGATGAGGAGTGATGGGAAGTTCTCATCCAGTACTGTGGGGGTATAAATGGATACCTCCAGTCCCTTTGGAGAACAGTTTGCTATGGTCTTCCAAAGTTGAATACTTGCACACCTACCTGATGACTAAGCATTTTCTCACCTATATATAGTCTCTAAAGAAGCTCTTATACAAGTTCAGGATGCAAGAATAAGGATGCTCACAGCAGCACTATTCATACCAGACCCGAATGAGACACCACCCGA